CTCTTAGAATCTAAAAATGTTTAGTCAAATTAATTTTAAACTCACTATGTATTTGAACAGTTTGATATGAGTGCATGTTACTATTTTAACATGTTATATTTGTCCTAAGTGGTTAGATGCATGATGTGCTTTTAACTCAAATGCTCAACTAATGTTGTGTCTATTGCGCGGATCAATTTTGCTCGTTTCTATAGAAAACTTTTAAGAAAGTTGTTAATAATAAATTATTTTTTTGGATTAAAAATATTAAATAACTTAATAATCATGATTTTGAATAAGGTTTAATTGCACTTTGGTACCCCAAGTTCACCGTTTGAACCATATAGTGGGCCAAGTTGGCCCACTGGTCCAATCGTTTCTCTCTTTTTTAATCTCGTCTCAACTCGACCCACTACATGATGAGGTAATTTTGGCTCGTTCTAGACATGAGACGTGGGAGAGAGCTAGGTTGGCCCCAAACTGCATGCAGGCTAGCAGCCCGCTCGTTCCACAAAGCTTAGCGAGCGTGTTGGGCCTGCATGGCTACCGGGCCGACTAGCTCGTCTCGTTCCAAATTGCACTTAAATACCTTCTAGTCTTTATATAGACTCACTTGTTTTTGACAACTTGCATATATACTATAGTTTTTAAAACTTGCACTCATATACCCTCATCACTCGTTTGGCAACACTTGTACACCATAACGTTTTTAAAACTAGAACCTAGACCCTCCGTTATGTAAACTTTACGAGGGAAACGAAGTGCAAGTTTTAAAAACTTTAGGATATTGATAATGTAGTGTTGTAAAAAATTCTTCGAGAACATGGGTTATCGACGAGATATTGATAATGTGGTAACAAGATATTGACAATATACTAGAGAGTATGTTTTCAACTAGTGGAACAATTATTTGCTACACGTGGATGTAAGACTTGCTCTGAACCATATAAAATCTCCGGGTTTGCGATATTTCTCTCTGTCATTCTATACAAATATACAATTTTACTTAATAAAATTATTATTTTTTATTTCTTATCGTGGTGATTGTTAGCTTGTAATTAATTACATATAAACTTTTAAATGTTATACAATACCTCAAATTTATTAAAAACCATTTACAAAATAAATAAATAAAAAACAGAGAGAGTAAAAAAAAGATGGTTCGCGTGGGTCGGCTCATGACATGGCTCGTCTCGCATGTTTAGGGCCTCGTGAATGGGCAAGACTGAGGATTCTAAACAGGAGAACAAGCGAATAACCGCAGCTACATGTCTCATTCGACTGGCTGGGGTCATCAGTTCTCGCTCGTGACTCGCATGATTGGCTCGCGGAGCATCGCCAAACTCGTCCGTGGGCGTGCGTCGGGCTAGTTCAGGCCCGTGACCTGGCCCGCAGGGTTCAAGGGCGGGCCGGGCCTGACCTGGGCCTGATCGGGTCAGAGAGGGGCAAGTCTATTTCTCTGATCGTGGGTCTGGGATTGAAACCAGCCCGACCTACGACCCACCTAGGTGTGGGCCGGGTCTGACCCGGCCCACGGCCCGTGGGTCGTTGACCAGCCCATGAGTTTTTCATCCAAACTTTTTCTTAATTTTACCTTTTAATTATATTAGACATGTATTTACAATTATAAAACTATTTCAAATTTATTTTTTAGTAATTTAAAATTGCATTAAACTATTTTAAACTAGTATTAAACTTTTTAATACTTCCAAGTAGACAACAGTGAGCTTAAAGTTAGCTGTTTTATTTCTCAGTCGATCAAAAAGGCCACGAGCTAAACACCTATGGCCTTTTGGCTTTGTTGACAACATGTTGCAGACCCAAATGGCTAAATAAAAAGCACCCAAAATGCTAAAAGAATAACCAGCCTAACCAAAAAATATATCATGGTCTGGGGTGGGTCGGACCGGACTGGGTGGGGCATGGGCCGGGTCGAGCGTGGGTTAGGCTTACTTCTCTGATAGCAGGTTTGAAGCTGGACCTAGCATGACTTGTGACACGAATATATCACGGGCCGGATCAGGCCCGGTCTACCACGAGCTGAGTTGGGTCATGACCCATCGCAGGCTAGGCCGAGTCAGCCAAGGAGTCGACACGTCCCACGCCCACCCCTACCGTTGCCCATCCCTGTAAACGATACTCTCTGCGCCTTCGTCCCAAGTTCCCGACGAAGAGAAGCACAAGTTACGAAAATAACCCATCCCATAAACCTACTCCTCACATGCATTCAGGAATCAGTTCTCAAGAATTTTACCGTCTCTCCCAAGTTTTCACGGTCTCCGCAAAATCGCAACTAGGGAACCCAAAATCACCCCCTCCTGAACCCTAAACCCTGAACCTGAATATCTCTATTTTTGTCGCTGGAACAACAAAGTTTCAAAGCTGGAAACCCTAGAAATTGGAGCTGTCGGAATCGCAAAAGAACGCTGACCCTGAATTGGGATTTCTTAATTAAAGATAAGTTTCTATAATTACCTTTAGTTACTTAATCTTCTAATAAAAATTTGTTCAAAAATGCAATGTTTCCCCCCATTATTTATTGAATGGAAATTGAGTTTATCGATTGTTTGATATTTCTGTCAGTTTGAACAAAGTCTATTGATTAAAAAAAAATTAGGCGCATGCCAATTATAAATATGAAAATTAAAAACTCATCAACAAATTAAACCTGACAAATAAATATTGGACGTCTTTATAAAATCTGGGAATAATAAAGAAATGCCAATTTCACTGGAATCAGAGTATAATCCCATTTGAAAGAAAGGTAGAGATGTGGTTAGTTGCAATGTACTACTGGTGGTTGCGTAGGCTAGAGCTTGGGAGGTTTAGTATTGCACACCAGATGTTTGAGAAAATGCTTGAGAGAAATGCAGTTTCTTTTGGGATTAAAATTAATTCTTTTTTGAATTGGGTTTATGAGGGAATTTGAAAGTAGGTGGGTTTGAAAATAAATGACATCCTTTTTTTTCAATTATCTGAAGCATTGCTTCTGCGTATTATAGATTTGAAAATGAAGAAACTTACCTTGGATGTTCTCAGAGTTGCACATTTCATAATTCAAAGCACCAAACATTAGGTTGTTTTTGTTAGCTTGACTCGGTCATGGTGACCAAATCAACGATTCTCAGTAGAGAGAATTGTGGAACGTGAAAACGTGGAAGCGTTGTTGAGAGAAAATCTCTCATTGGGGCGGGTCTTGGGGGGTGGAGTTAGTGGGTTCAGCCCCTATAAATGGAGGAGTAATTCTCCTTAAGAAATCATAACGAAGAAAGTGAAAAACCTCTTACCCATTAGCGGAACCCCGTTCAAAATCTGTTCTTTCCTCTTCTCTGTTTTCATTCACTGGTATCAGAGCAGCTGCATCGATCGGTCATCTCAAGCTCTGCGTCCATCGGCGACGATGACTGCTGCAATCGGCAGCGATCTGATCTCCGCTCGACCTCAGTCTCGATTGCGACGACGACGACTAGACGACCCTCCGATCGATCGACAATGACGACGCCTCGACGAGCCTACTGCGACTTCGACGACTGAAGGAAATCGGAGGCCATCGGTTGAGCTCGAGATCGAGGTGAACAGACTGATTTTTGAGATCGATCAGATCTGGGTTGATTTGATTTTGAGATAGAAAAGAATTTTTTTTGAGAAGAGGAATAATAGATAGAAGTCAGCCGCCTCTTGTTATTTGAGGTTAAAAAAAACCCCTAGCTAAATCGTTCACTCAGATCCACCCCCTATCACCAAGGCCAAGTTTTCACTCAAAGCCCATATAAGGCCCACTTTCACTCAAAGCATGTCCCATTTTATTTGAGCAAAGTCTTCATTCGGCCCACATACATCAAGTCGAGCCAGCGCAGATTGTCCTATCTGGTGGAATCCAAAAAACAACAACAGATTATCTCCAAATCAAGACAGAAACGACGACAAAACTTCGACAAGTGCTGATCCAATCTACACCGCTGAGTGACACTCTCGCTCAAATTGGAGCTTCGTTTCTCAACTCACAAAAATCAGGTTCATTTTAATTAATTTATTTATTTATCTAACTTTATTTTTAGTATAATTGTCAAAATATCAACCTTGTACAAATTTTAAAATTGAAATCAGTTTTAGTTCTTTACCAAATGGCTAGTAAACTCGTTCTATCAGAACTAGGGAAAATTGATAAATTTAATGGCAGTAATTATGATATGTGGCATAGAAAAATAGGATATGCTCTTATTCATGACAACATTGATGATGTAATCGAAATCACTGCTCAAATCCTTACTGATAAATCAACACCTGAAGAAAAGAAAGGGTTTGAGCAGTGAAAGTCGAAAGACAAAAAGGCAAAAACTCTTATGCTCATGTTCATGGAAGATAATTTAATCAAAGTTTTTGAAACTTATAAAACTTCCATGGACATGTGGAATGCAATAAAAGAAAAATACGACACTGCTTCTGAAGTTAACATTCAACTCCTCTTGCATAAGTATAATTCTTGTCATATGCAAGAGGGAGACAATGTCGTAGAACATATAAATAAAATGATTATCATGGTTAAGGACTTATCCACTGCTGGGACCGAAATCCCGGAAAGAATGTAAGTGACAACCATTTTGAATAGTCTTTCCTATTCACTTGCTGTGGCTGCCACCACATTAAGAATGAATCATGTCATTAAGTCTGTCACTGATCTTCCTATGCACCTAGCGATAGAACATGATTTAATAGCCAGTAGGAAGGAACCAGAACTGAATATGGTACAGCAGGAGCTGAATTATGTCCGCCAGAGGCATAATACTGGAAGCTATAAAAACCCTGGTCCTAGTAAACCCCAACCGTGAGGACCGAAGTCACAGCAATTCAAGAGAAAGAAAGTACCCCGCGGAGCTTGCTATAATTGTGAAAAGTTCAGGCATTTCAAGCCCAATTGCCCACAAGATGAAAAGTAGGAGAATAAGGGAGGCTATAAGCATTCAGAACAAGGGGATACTAGCAAAAGAGAATTCATCGGTATGACGGAATGTAATGCTGTGATGACGGATATCAGTGGTTGGTGGATCGACTCTGGTGCGACTAGGCATATCGCAAAGGATAAGAAAGGAGTCATAGAATTCACAGAGCTTAAGAAAGGAGAACAGAGAATCTATATGGGAAATAATACCTATCTCGATGTAGAAGGTATCGGTTCGTATAGATTGGATCTTGGGGATAGTATTCTTGTTCTCAAAGATGTGTTCTATGCGTCAGGAATTCGGCGTAATCTGATCTCTGTTCCCAGCTTGATGAAGAAAGGACTGGAAGTCAGGTTCTATAATAACAGGTTTTCTATAGGCAAGAATAATAAAGTGTATGCTATGTGAAAATTTGTGTCCGAGTATGAATTATGCATTCTTCCTGTAGTTTATAATAATTCTGATAATGAAATTTCGAATTTGAACTACTTGTCTTGTTATATTTCTGAGTCTGAATTGTGGCATTCTAGATTAGGATATGCTAGTATTTTAAAAATAAAAGAAATTATCAGAATGAACTTGCTTCCTGCACTATCTAATGTTCAATTGTCACCATGTGAACATTGTTTAACTGGTAAAATGATCAGAAAACCTTATATTGGCGGATAGAGAGCCAATGAACTTTTAGGGTTAATACACTCGGATATTTATGGTCCCCTAAGTGTCAAAACTCATAGTAATAAAGAATATTTTATTACTTTTATAGATGATTGTTCCAAGTTTGCACACGTCTATCTTATATCCAGAAAATTAGAAGCTTTTGACTGTTTTAAGAGATATAAGACAGAAGTTGAAAACCAACTTGGATTGAAAATTAAAATTTTGAGAACTGATAGAGGTGGGGAATATAACTCTAAAGAATTTAAGAGTTATTGTATTTAGCATGGAATTAAAAGACATACAACAATGCCGTATACGCCACAACAGAATGGTGTTGCTGAAAGAAAAAATAGAACATTACTTAATGTAGTTAGATGCATGTTGTCTCATTCTGGTCTCTCTAAAAACTTTTAGGGAGAAGCATTGTTAACTGCAAACTACATTTTAAATAGAATTCCTACCAAATCAGTAGTATCTACACCTTATGAATTATGGAATGGGAGGAAACCTAATTTGAGTCATCTCAGGAAGTGGGGATCTATAGCCCATGTTCTCATTCCATGTCAACTTAGAGATAAGTTGGATTTTAAAACAATAAAGTGTAGATTCATAGGATATTCAAAAAAGTCAAAAGGTTATAAGTTCTATAATAAAGAAAAAAGAGTCATTAAAAACAGAGATGCTACATTTCTAGAGAATCTAGAGGAAGAGGAACAAGTTCGAGAGGAAACAGAACCTCTAACTATAATAGATGATGATTATTACAGTGTTGTTCCTACTAATGACCCTGATATTGAGAATGAACTTAACCTTGAAAATGATAAAATACCTATGAAAAATAATGTACCTAATCAACCGATTGTAGGCAACAAAAGGTAAAGAACACCTTCATGGATGGATGATTACTATTTATATTCATGTGAGCCATCATGTTTCTCGGTAGATACAAATATAGAAGAACAAGATCCCTTAACATTTTCTGATGTGATGAAATCGCATGAATCAGCTTCATGGCTAGAATCTATGAGAGAAGAACTTGATTCCATAGAAAAGAATAAGGTATGAGAGTTATGTGATCTACCAGAAAATAGAAAAGCCATAGGATGCAAATGGGTGCTCAAAAAGAAATATCTTGTTGATGGATCAATTAACAAATTCAAAGCACGGTTAGTTGCCAAGGGTTATAACCAGAAGGTAGGAATAGATTTTCAGGAGACGTATTCTCCTGTAGCTAAATTTGCATCCATTAGAATTATTTTGGCTATTGTTGCATATCTTGATTTGGAGTTATTCTAAATGGATGTTAAAACTGCATTCCTTAACGGAGAGTTGAAGGAAGCAATATATATGCAACAACCTAAAGGTTTTCAGGTGAAAGAACAGGAACATAACGTTTACAAATTAATGAAATCTCTATATGGTTTAAAACAGTCTTCTAAACAATGGTATCTCAAATTTCATGATGCAGTTACTAAACTTGGTTTTATTCAAAATAAATTAGATAATTGTGTATATATCTTAAAAAGTGGGAGCAAGTTTACTATATTGTCATTATATGTGGATGATATATTACTCACTGGAAATGACATAGAAATGTTGAATAAAATCAAGGCAGATCAAAGCAAAAAGTTTGAGATGAAAGACATGGGAGATGCATCATATATTCTTGGAATTCAAATAATTCGAGATAGAAAGTCTAGAATGTTAAGTTTAAACCAAGAAAAATATTTAAGATCAGTTCTTAAAAGGTTTGGAATGGAGAATTCCAATCCGGCACCAACTCCGTTGGTTATGAGAAAGAGATTATGTAAAGAGCAAAGCCCTGGAGAGGGGCAGAAGCCATTAGATGTTCCTTATGCTTAAGCAATTGAAAGCTTGATGTATGCAATGTTGTGCACCAGACCTGATATAGCTTATGTTGTGAGTCTAGTCAGTCGATATCAAAGTAATCCAGGACCAACATATTGGGAAGCTGTTAAAAGGATTATGAAGTATATCAGAGGTACATTGACTCATAGATTAGTTTATCAAGCTGAATCGCTTGAACTCCTCGGTTATTCCGATGCTGATTTCGGAGGTGATAAAGATGATGGAAAGTCCATTTCGGGACACTTATTCATCTTTGAAGGAGGAGTTGTTTCTTGGAGTAGTAAGAAACAAGGGTGTGTTGCTAGATATACGCAAGAAGCTGAATATATAGCTTGCAGTATGGCAACTACACATCCTGTCTGGATAAGACGGTTATTTGTTAGAAGGACCTATTGATATTTATTGTGATAATCAAGCAGCAATTAGCTTAATCAATAGTGGCGTGAATAGCTCCAAAGGAAAACATATTGAGATCCAGTATCACTATATTCGAGATATTGTAGAAAAGAGAGAAGTCAAAGTGACTTATATCCCTACTACAGATATGATTGCTGATCCTTTGACAAAGGAATACCAACGTAATCTTTTATCAAACATGTAAGTTTGATGGGACTTAGGAATAAATAAGTCCAAGTAAAATTTCATGAATAATGAAATAAGAGTTACTCTCTACGGATAGTGGGAGTAATGGTAAGCAGAAATATCTGATCTTACGGATAGTGGGAGGCATGTCACTTGGTTAATTTGGTCAAGTGGGAGATGTTAGCTTGACTCGGTCATGGTGACCAAATCAACGATTCTCAGTAGAGAGAATTGTGGAACGTGAAAACGTGGAAGGGTTGTTGAGAGAAAATCTCTCATTGGGGCGGATCTTGGGGGGTGGAGTTAGTGGGTTCAGCCCCTACAAATGGAGGAGTAATTCTCCTTGGGAAATCATAACGAAGAAAGTAAAAAACCTCTTACCCATTAGCGGAACCCCCTTCAAAATCTGTTCTTTCCTCTTCTCTGTTTTCATTCAGTTTTGTCCAGGTGTTTTGGATAAACTTTGCGCATGCATTATTCACATAAGTGGAATGCGTTAATCATTTGCTTTTGTGGGTGGAAAATGCATATTCCGCAATATGACATTGCTATTGGGCAATAGCATAGCAGGAAGAGAGCGCTAACACTATTAGCGCCGGTATTACGGTGCTATTTACCGCTATTCATAATAGTGCTTGTCAGCTATTTACCTCTATTCATAATAGTGCTTGTCAGGGTTTTAGGCAATGAGTCGCAACATTCGGTTGCATGCAAGGTGTTTGTTGAAATTCTTGTGGAAGACAGTCGCCTTGATGTCTGTGCTTATACAATATTTCTACGTTCCTATGCGAGGTCGGGAGGTATGGTAAGGTGATATTGTTGCTTGAGTGGATTAAAGATAAGGGTTTATTGCCGAGCATTGTGACTTACAATGTGATGCTTGATTTTTATGGCCGAAAGGGGCGATCTTGGGGGAAGATTTTGGGTCTTTTGGATGAGACGGGGAGTCATGGGTTGGTTCTCGATGAGTTCACTTGTAGCACTATGATAGCTGCTTGTGGAAGAGTAGAGTTGTGACAGGAGGCGATGGAGTTCTTCAAACAATTGAACTCTCAAGGCTGTTTTCCGGGTACTGTAACTTATAATTATCTACTTCAAGTATTTGGGAAGGCTAGAAACTACCCTGAGGAATTGAGAATTCTGAAAGAAATGGCGGAATGCAATTGTGAAGCTGATGCTATTACTTACAACGAGTTAGTTGCTACCTATGCTAGAGCTAGTTTTGTGATGAAGGAGCTGCTGTATTGGATACAATGGCTGCCAAAGGCATTATGCCAAACTCTGACTTTGTTACTACAGTATAGTCATAAGTGCTTATGTGGAAGCTGAGAGAGAGGATGAGGCATTGTATTTATTCTACAGGGTGAAGGAATTGGGTTGTGTTCCTAATGCTTGCACTTATAACACTGTTCTTGGCTTGCCTGGAAAGAAATCGAGGTCAGGAGAGATGTTGGAGGTTCTTCTTGAGATGAAGTCTAATGGTTGCATACCGAATAGAGTCACTTGGAATACTATGTTGGCAATGTGTGGAAAGAGAGGAATGGAGAGGTATGTGAATAGGGTTTTTCTCATGATGAAGAATTGTGGGCCTCAACCTAATTGAGATACCTTCAATACCCTAATTGCACCTTATGGTCATTGTGGATCGCATTCTCATGCTTTGAATAAGTATGATGTGATGGCTAAAGTGGGATGTAGCCCTTGTCTTACAACCTACAATGCTTTGTTGAATGCAATTGCAAGAAATGGTGATTGGAGAGCTGCAGAGTCAGTTATGGATGACATAAGGAAGAAGGGATTCAAGCCAAATGAGCTCTATTACTCTCTTTTGCTCCAAAGTCATGCATAGGCAAGGCGTATAGAAGGGATAGAAGCAATTGAAGAGGGGTTTTGCAAAGGTGAAATCCTTCTTACTTGGGTGAATTTAAGAACCCTCATCATTGCTAATTTCAAATGTAGAGCTTTGCAAGGTATGGAGAGGGTATTTGAATGGCTAAATACAAATGGGTACAAGCCAGATTTAGTACTAAGTGCTCTCAATCTATGCGAAGAATTGAATGGATGGCCGAGCTCAAGAATGTTTAATTTGGTAATACAATGGCTTGAAGTCTGATCTTATTACATGTAATAGCTTGATAGACTTATCTGCAAGTGGTGGGGAGTGTTGGAAAGCCGAAGAGATTCTAAAATCACTTCATAGACATGGCTTTGAACCTGACTTGATTTCTTACAACACTGTAATCAATGGATTTTGAAAGCAAGGGCTGATGAATGACGCTTTAAGGGTCTATCAAAGATGATGTCTTCATGGATTAGGCAATGCGCAATAACTTACAACACCTTTATTGCTGGATATGTGAACATGGAGATGTTCAGCGAGGCAAACGATGTTTATTGGCTACACGAAGGAGAATGATTGTAGGCCTAGTGAAGTAATATACAAGGCGGTCAATTCCATGTTTATATGTTTTAAATGTCTATACAAGCATTTTTGGGCCAATATGTCCTTGTAGTTTGTTCACAAGCTTGTTCTGACACAACGTTGGATATATATTTAAAACTGCTGCCGTATATATCGTGGTTATGACATTGTAATAAAAGACATTAAAGAGTAAATTTGAGAGATGGAAAAACAAAAGTTTTTTATGTGCACACCACTTTTCTAAGATTTGAAATTGAAAATAATTTCATTCATGACTCACCTTTTGTCATATTCTTTATCTTGATTTATTTGCTTAAAACTAAACTTGCGAATTTCCCAATATTGGGCTCTAGATTTCAATAGAGAGCCAAGCGAGCGGGCTCTTGGGCCGACCTGGCCTAGTGCCCACCCTTACTGACATGCCTACGTCTTGGTGTAGCGGAACTTCGTTCAAGTGATTTAGTGAAGTGCGAGTTTGAGTCCCCACTAAAACATTTTTATTCTGCCCCATTCATTTTTGAATCCAACCACTCTCTGAATTTGGCTAGGTTTTTCATCTTTATACCTAAAGTTCTACTCCAATTTATTTTTAATCCCACCCACAAACAAAAAGTCTTTTGTTTATAAATGAAGAGAGTAATTTTTTTATGGATCCATAGTTTTACCCCCATTTATTTTTAAGTTCACCCATTTTCCAAAATAACTCCTGTGCTTAAAACTCTTCGTAAAATTAAAAATTAACCACTTTGTATTTCAACAATATCATAGATGGTATCTGTTACTTTATTATTATTATTTGATATATATTTTGTTCTAAGTGACTAGGTATTTGGTTTATTTCTAATATCGCGTCATTACAAACCGTAATTGGATTTTTTCCTACAAATCCAAAGTTTATCCTCATTTATTTTTAAACTCACCCACTTCCAATAGAATTATTTGGAAAACCAAGCTTTTTAGCCCCCATTTAGCTTTAAACCCATCAACTTTCAAATAACTCTTAGACCTAACAATATTTAGTCAAATTAATTTTAAACTCACTTTGTATTTGAGTAGTTTGATATGGGTGCATGTTGCTGTTTTTGTTATAACACGCTATATTTGTCAAGGTTTTAAATGTCGACCGACATGTCCGACATGTCGGCCGACATATCGGTTTAAGGGCTTGACCGACATCGACCGACATGTCCGACATGTCGGCCGACATATCGGTTTAAGGGCTTGACCGACACGACATGGACGTTCTCAACTCGTATATCGGTTTTCAGGGCAAAATCGGAAATATCAGGGTCATATCGGGCATATCGGCCTATTTTTTAGCTTTGAAAAATCGGCCGATATAGTACTTTTTTTAAGTTCTGTTTTTTGTTATCCGGTTTGGGTTTAGTGATAAATACCCAAACATGTTTGACCCGTTCTCATGTTTAAGGGTTTCTTATGAACCCGATAGAAAGAATTTATAAACCCAAATCCATATATTATTTACCTTTTTATATGTTTAGTCTATAGAATTTATAAAGTATGCTTATATTGAATTTATGAATGCTTAGATTATATTTAGGACATGATATTATACATATGCGCACTATCCGATATGGCAATCCGATATTTAGTCAATGTCCCCCGATATATCCCCGATTTCCGCTATCCGACATGGATTTCAACCATCCGACATGAACCCGACATCCGATATTTAAAACCTTGATATTTGTCCTAAGTGGTTAGACGCATGATGTGCTTTCAAGTTAACTTAAATGCTCAACTAATACCGTGCCTATCACGCGGATCAATTTTGCTCGATTTTATAGAAAACTTTTAAGGAAGTTGTCAATAATAAATTACTCTTTTTTGTATAGAAAAATAATAAATAACTTAATAATCATGATTTTGAAGAAGGTTTAATTGCACTTTGGTACCCTAAGTTCACCGTTTTGAACTAAATAATTAGGGGTGGATAGTGGGCCAAGTTGGCCCACTAGCTCAACTGTTTGTCTCTTTTTTTTCCCCTCGTCACAACTCGGCCCACTGCAGGACGATGCAGTTTTGACCCGTTCTAGACAAGAGACACTGGAGTGAGCTAGGTTGTCCCCAAGCTGCACACCGGCTAGCAACCCACTAGTTCCACAGAGCCCAGCAAGTAAGCTGGGCCTGCATGCTACCGGCCGTCTAGCTCGTCTCATTCCAGATTGCACTTAAATACCTTATAGTCTCCCCTACTTTACATTTATATACCCTCAATTGTTTTTGAAAACTTGCATAAACACTATAGTTTTTAAAACGTGCGCTTATATACCCTCATCACTTGTTTGGCAGCACGAGTACATCGTAAGGTTTATAAAACTTGCACTTAGACACTCAGTTATGCAAACTTCAGGACAAAATCCAAGTGTAAGTTTTAAAAACTTTAGGATATTGATAATACAGTGTTGTTAAAAAATTCTTCGAGAACATGGGTTATCAACAAGATATTGACAATGTGGTAAAAGATATTAACGGCACACGGGAGAGGATGTTTTCAACTAGTGGAGCAATTATTTGCTGCATGTGGATGTAAGGCTTGCTCTGAATCATATAAAATATCTGGGTTTTCGATATTTCTCTCTGCCATTCTATACAAATATATAATTTTACTTAATAAAATTATTTTTTAATTTCTTATGGTGGTTATTGTTAGCTAGTAATTAATTATATATAAGCTTTTAAATGTTAAACAATGCCTCAAAACTATTGAAAACAATTTACAAAATTTAGAAAGAAAGAAAAGAAAGAGCAAAAAAAATGGGCCGAGTTGGGTCGACCTGTGTCATGGCTCATTCTGCATGTTCACGGTCTCGCGAGCGCGCAGGACTGAGGTCCAAGCTTGAGAAAAAGTGAATAAACCCGGCCTACTCGGTCTCGTTGCGGGCTGGGGGTCATCCAGTCTCGCGCTCATGGACTCGCACGAGTTGGCTCGCGGGAAGCGCCAACTCATCCCGTTGCCCATCCTTGTATATGATACTCTGCGCGCCTTCATCCCGAGTTCCCAACGAACAGAATCTACTGGTCACGTGCATTCGGGAGTGAGTTCTCAAGAATTTTGCCGTCTCTCCCAAATTCATCTCCTCCTGGACCCTAAACCCTCAAAAATTGGCCAGATACTTTGAGAAACCCTGAAGGATCTCCTCAGCGTCTCTATCTTTGTCGCTGGAGGAACAAAGTTGTGAAGTTGGAAACACTGAAGGAGTCGCGATAGAACTCTAAACGTGAATTGGGATTTCTTAATCAAAGGTAAATTTCTATAATTATCTTTAGTCGCTTAATCTTCTAATGAAAATTTGTTCAAAAATGCGCTGTTTTTCCCCCTTATTTATTGAATGGAACTTGAGTTTATCTATTGTTTGATATTTCTCTCTGTTTGAGCAAAGTCTATTGATTTAAAAAAAAAAAAAGGCCCATGACAATTATATATGAAAAACAAAAACTCATCAACGAAGTAAACCTAACAAATAAAAATCGAACCTCTTTAGAAATAGGGTAATAACTTAGATGGAAAAGAAATGCTTGGGTGGTTATGGTTAGTTGCAATGTACTGCTGGTGGTTGTCTAGGCTAGAGCCTGGGAGGTTAAATATTGCACACCAGATGTTTGAGAAAATGCTTAGGAGAAATGCATTTTCTTTGAGGCTTAAAATTAATTATTTTTTGTATTGGGTTTATCAATTTGAAAGTTGGTGGGTTTGAAAATAAATGATATCCTATTTTGTTAATTATCTGAAGGACTGCTTCTGCAAATTATAGAGTTGACCTTGTTAGTGAGCTCAATTCACACTTTAGAGACTGCTCCTGTGCAACTCTATTTTGCGAAGAAACTTACCTTGGATGTTCTCAGAGTGACACATTTCATAATTCAAAGTACCAAACATTAGGTTGTTTTATCCTGGTGTTTTTAGATAAAACTTTGCGCATGCATTATTCACATAAGTAGAACGTGTTAATAATTTGCTTCGATGCTTATCCGGTTGCAAAATTTGTGATAATGCCCGATAATCATCTCCTCTCCAATGACTCCCGCCTTGATTTCCTCACCCAAAAAGGGTAAAATCCCTGCTCAACTCGATAGCCAACACCCCTTTGAACAGCTTGCATTGCTGTCTCAACTCTTCGAAACCCGATATTCTTAAGGTGGATGTTGCCAGTTCGTTGATGGGGTTGGAGATTTTAGGGGATTGAGAGAGAGACCTTGTTCTCTTTCCATGGGTCTCGGCCAATCTTCAAATGGACGCTCTGGCCGTTGAGACCCTTGTCAGGGTTTTAGGTAAGGAGTCGCAGCATTCAATTGCATGCAAGGTGTTTGATGAAATTCTCGTGGAAGACAATTGCCTTGATGTCCGTGCTTATACAATATTGCTACGTTCCTATGCGAGGTCGGGAGGTATGGTAAGGCGATTTTGTTGCTTGAGAGGATTAAAGATAAAGGTTTATTGCCTAGCATTGACTTACAATGTGATGCTTGATGTCTATGGCCGAAAGGGGCGATCTTGGGGAAAGATTTTGGGTCTTTTGGATGAGACAGGGAGTAATGGGTTGGATCTCGATGAGTTCACTTGTAGCCCTATGATCGCTGCTTGTGGGAGAGTAGAGTTGTTACAGGTGGTGATGGAGTTTTTCAAACAATTGAAGTCTCAAGGCTATGTTCCGGGTACTGTAACTTATAATTCTCCACTTCAAGTATTTGGGAAGGCTGGAAACTACCCTGAGAAATTGAGAATTCTGAAAGAAATGGAGGAATGCAATTTTGAAGCTGATGCTATTACTTACAATGTGTTAGATGCTACCTATGCTAGAGCTGGTTTTGTGATGAAGGAGCTGCTGTATTGGATACAATGGCTGCTAAAGGCATGATGCCAAACTCTGACTCTGTTACTACGCTACAGTCATAAGTGCTTATGGGAAAGCTGAGAGAGAGGATGAGGCATTGGATTTGTTCTACAGGATGAAAGAATTGGGCTGTGTTCCTAATGTTTGCATTTATAACACTGTTCTTGGCTTGCCTAGAAAGAAATCAAGGTCAGGAAAGATGTTGGAGGTTCTTCTTGAGATGAAGTCTAATAGTTGTATACCGAATAGAGTCACTTGGAATATTATGATGGCAGTGTGTGGAAAGAGAGGAATGGAGAGGTATGTGAATAGGGTTTTTCTCAAGATGAAGAATTGTGGGCCTCAACCTAATTGAGATACCTTCAATACCCTAATTGCAGCTTACAGTCGTTGTGGATCGCGTTCTCATGCTTTGAATATGTATGATGAGATGGCCAAAGGGGGATTTAGCCCTTGTCTTACAACCTACAATGCTTTGCTGAATGCAATTGCAAGAAATGGTGAATGGAGAGCTGCAGAGTCAGTTATGGATGATATGAGGAAGAAGAGATTCAAGCCAAATGAGCTCTATTACTCTCTTTTGCTCCGAAGTCATGCATAGGCAAGCCATATAGAAGGGATCGAATCAATTGAAGAGGGGTTTTGCAAAGGTGAAATCTTTCCTACTTGGGTGAATTTAAGAACCCTCATCATTGCTAACTTCAAATGTAGAGCTTTGCAAGGTATGGAGAGGGTATTTGAATGGCTAAATACAAATGGGTACAAGCTGGATTTGGTAATTCTCTACTCAGTGCTCTCAATCTATGCGAAGAATGGAATGGATGGCCGAGCTCAAGAATGTTCAGTTTGATCAATGACAATGGCTTGAAGCCAGATCTTATTACATAATAGCTTGATAGACTTGCATGCAAGAGGTGGGGAGTGTTGGAAAGCCGAAGAGATTCTAAAATCACTTCATAGACATGGTTTTGAACCTGACTTGATTTCCTACAACACTGTAATCAATGGATTTTGTGAGCAAGGGCTGATGAATGAGGCTTTAAGGGTTCTATCAAAGATGATGTCTTTAGGGATTAGGCCATGCGCGATAACTTACAACACCTTTATTGCTGAATATGTAAACATGGAGATGTTCAGCGAGGCAAATGATGTTATTGGCTACATGAAGGAGAATGATTGTAGGCCTAGTGAAGCAACATACAAGACAGTCGAAAGCTAGCTCTACAGGTACAGGGGAAAGTTGATCTGCAGCAGTGATATAGGTACTATTTTCAATTCCTTGTTTACATGTTTTAAATGTCCATGCAAGCATTCCTGGGTCAATATGTCTTTGTAGTTTGTTCACCAGCTTGTTCTAACACAACGTTGGACATATATTTGAAACTGATGCCTTATATTGTGGCTTTGACATTGTAATATTTGAACAAGACATTAAAGAGTAAATAGGAGAGAAGATGGAAAAACACAAGGTTTTTATATGTGTGCACCAATTTTGTAAGATTTGAAAATAATTTCATTGATGACTCACCTTTTGTTATATTATTTATCTTGATTTATTTCCCAAAAACTAAACATGTGAATTTCCCAGTATTTACTTACAGCTAAACTTGTGAATTTCCGAGTATTGGGTTCTAGATTTAAAAGGTTAACTCAGATTCACGAATGCTCATGATAATTAAATATAAAAAAAATTATAAAATCATGTAATTCCATAATTTATACATCATCAACCTGAAGGCGATATTATCTTTTCATGTAACACCCACTGGAAAGATCCTGCTAACATATGCTATTGTCAAGTCTTAGACATTACTTAAATCTATCATTTCTTTGATCCTCGTGCCTAAGGAATTGGTCCGTCTTGTTTCTAACCTCTTTCTGGCTTTGATTGCTATGCCATCTAATTCCAGTTCCAGTGCTACTACATTAAAGTTCTTTCAACTTATGTGATAAGTTACCGTTATTTTTCTTGTTTTTTCCGTAGAGAGTTCCAATTTCCTTGAGCGTTTCATAAAGGATGAAACAGAAGATTATGAGTAACAGTTAATGTGCTTGTAATCATCTCAGATGTTAGCCGCATTGAAATTGAATACAAGACAAAAACAAATTTCCTTGATTGTTTATTTAGATACATTCTAGCAACAAATCAATATATAACAAAGAATGAAGTTATTTGGACCCTGTACACTGTACACAAGTTTCTGAAGATCATAATATCAGTTATTACATTTGTTTATCAGCATTCCTTTCTCTTCTTTCCCTTGAAAGTACTTCAGCGAAACGAGTAAGCGCTTCTTCATTAGTTCCTTCGCCATCAACTGGCTCATACCGTCCTGTCTCCGAGTTCAATCTGGATACTGGCTTCTTCAGCAGGTCTTTGCCAATTTGAACCAGATTTTGTAGATTCTCCGTTGTCGATACATCGACCGACGATGCGCTTCCAATTAGTGTATCGTCCTGTATCATAACAAACATTTTGGTTCAATCAAAACACGTATCGAAGGACACTATAGGGCCTCTGAACTACTGTCAAATTGAACTAACCACTCCTTTAGTTATAATGTTGCAGACAGAACCCCTGGGTGTAAGTTTCTTGACTCTTTTTCGGGGGCTCTATCTGCAACAAGAGATTATCACTCAGTGGTTCTGTTCGCAGCAATACAGCCCACAATAGAACTATAGGGCTCCATTGCAATTAACCTAGCAACCAATTGATTATTTTTACCTGTATGCGACGATAGTTCTTCTGAGAGTGGAGCGCTTGAATAACAGTGGATGCGTGGATATCGACCAAGTTAGAGCTTGATTGACTGAATATGTCAATGATTGGGGATGCGCCTTCGTTGTATATTCACTGGAGGACTCCCCATTTGGCAGAATCTTTGGCGCTGACTCTCTCTATTACTTTCGCTGATCCCGTGCCGAGAGAGATTACAAGCAATTTTCCGGAACCTATGGCCTTGACGGGAAGAAAGTCTGGTTTCTGTTGGATTTAATCTAATAAATCTATTTGTGGGCACATATGATTAATCAATGTGTATTGCTATCTTTCAGGATAACCCACTAAAGTGATCAATTAAGTTGGGTTAATTTGGTATTTAAATAAGTCATGGGGTTATATGTGCAGATACCAGGTTGTAATTGTGATTTATTGAGGGGCTAAATTACAAAAGTACAACATCTATAAATAAGGGGTTATGGTCCCTAACCTAGGGTTACATTCTCTAATTCTCTACACCCCCATCTAACTAGAGAAATTCGGTTTTAGAGAAACCCTAAGGTTAGAACATCATCAAAAACCCAAATCAAGATTTCATCCATGGATTCAGGTATAAGCTTCCGCTCTTTTGATTATTTGTTAATCTCTTTGAATTAATCATGGCTATATGGTTTTAGATCTCAAGTTCTATGATGTAGATCTAACAAGTGGTATCAGAGCCACCTTGATTAATTCTTAGGGATTTAAGTTTTATTGGGTTTTTTTATCTTAAATCTCTAGTTAAAGATTCAATTTTTTGTTCTCGGATGAACAGTAATGTTCGGTGAACAGTAGTGAAATTTTTTTTGGATGAACAGTAAAGTATTTTTCGGATTAACAGTAACTAAAAAATCGCCGGTGAACAGTAACTTTTTGGAATTTTTTGGATTTTTCTTTGATTTTTTCTTCAATTTTTCCAATTCTGGATCTGTTTTGAAAATAAAAATCAAAGATTTTTGGGTTTGTCGGCGGCGGTTTCAGTTTGAAACCTTAAGGGTTCATGGCGAAAATTAAGGAGGTGGTTACCTCAAACGAACCTCACGTTCGTTCAATTTTAACCGAACTTCGCGTTCAAACGAACTTCGCGTTCGTTATCAAGTGAGCCTCGCGCTCAACGAACTTCGCGTTCGTTCTAAGGTGAACCTCGCGTTCAACTCAGGTGAGCGTCAAGCTCAATTTTAACGAACCTCGCGTTCGTTCTAAGGTGAACCTCGCGTTCATTTCAGACGAACCTCGCGTTCGTGCTGTACTTCAGACGAACCTCGCGTTCGTACTTCAGACGAACCTCGCGTTCGTACTTCAGACGAACTTCGCGTTCGAACTTCAGACGAACCTCGTGTTCATTTTTAAACGAACCTCGCGTTCGTTCCCAAGTTGAACCTCGCGTTCTTTTATCAAACGAACCTCGCGTTCGTTCATTTTCAGACGAACCTCGCGTTCGTGCTTAAGTGAGTCTCGTACTCAATACAGTCGAACCTCGCGTTCGAAGTTAAGGGAACTTCGTGTTCATTATGGTTAAGCCTCGGCTTTTCATGGGTCCACTTTGGTATACTTAATTTATTCAATTAAGTTATGGGCCCTAATTAAGCTGTGAGACCCCAATTAAGTTTTTGGAAATTCAGTTGATTTAAATTAAAACTTTTTAATTTAAATCTAATTTGGTTTTTAATCAATTATTTAATTCAAATATTATGACACTAAGGTATTAAGGTTGTCTCTCACTCCAATTGATTAATTGAAACAAGAAGTTGCCAAAGTAACCTCTCTTGTGTAGATTGTTCATGAGGAATGTGAGATGTTTGTGTGTATGCTTTCGTGTAAATATTTAATCGGCCCAAAGGAAGGTTAATATTTATTTAGACTGTATACACATCTGCGATGATAAGCGTGTGACAATTATAAGGTTTACATGTGAATAATGAATCGATCCAAAGATAGTTTCATTATTTGACATGAGTTATTGTCAATGTTTGATCATTGCAACAAGGTATCACTTACAAGTTAATATTACTGTCCAAAGACTTGATATTAATGTTGTGCCGGTATCTTGGATGGGGATTGTCATTATTTGAATTTTATTGATTATGGTTATTGATGTGAGCATTTTTGTTTTATTTCAGCTAATGCATCTGCTGCAACAATTTCTGCTAACATCAACTCAATTCCCATGCTAAATGGGACAAACTTCAAGGTTTGGAAAGAGAACATATTAATTGTTCTTGGCTGCATGGATCTTGACTATGCATTAAGAACTGAACAACCCCAACCTCTCAATGCGGATAGCACTCCTGATGCAAAGAAGGAGCATGAGAAGTGGGAGCGTTCAAATCGCATGAGTCTTATGATCATTAAGCGCGGCGTTCCGGAAGCCTTCAGGGGCATAGAATCCGAAGGGATTACTAAGGCTAAAGATTTCCTTGCCGAAATTGAGAAGCGTTTTGCGAAAAACGATAAGGTAGAAACAAGCACGCTTTTAGCTCGCTTGATTTCAATGAAGTATAAGGGCAAAGGAAATATCAGGGAGTACATTATGGAAATGTCTCATATTGCTTCAAAGCTTAAGGCACTTAAACTCGATCTTTGTGACGAGTTATTAGTGCATCTGGTTTTGTTGTCTCTTCCTGCACAGTTTAACCAATTTAAGGTCAGTTATAACTGTCAAAAGGAGAAATGGACTCTAAATGAGCTCATTTCATACTGTGTGCAAGAAGAAGACAGGTTGAAGCAAGATAAGATAAAAAGTGCTCATTTGGCCTGTGCCTCTAAGGATAAGGGCAAGAAAAGGAAGAATGATAAGGAAGCTGCTAAGGGTCCAGTTGAGAAGAAACAACATAAGGATAATC